CGCACAATAAGTTACTTGCATTTGAATAAGTGGTACCTTCTCTGGACCACCGCTCAACTAGAGTCATATTTGTTCGGGTATAATTTATGTACCACTGTTCCTGAAAGAGTTAACGTATGTAAATCGTCAGACGTTTAGTTCGTTGCAAAAAGGGGGTCAGACGTCCTCAAAGTTTTTATTTTATGGCATTTTCTTCGGTGTCCTGTCAAAATATATTTTTGCAGGTATTTGACAAATATATTTGAAGAAAATGCCATAAAATAAAAACTTTGAGGACGTCTGACCCCCTTTTTGCAACGATCTAGACGTCTGACGATTTACATACCTTATCTGTGACCTTCAAACAGATAATGTGCAAAATTTCTATAAATTTTGAGCTTTGAGAAAACAGTCTAGATGCTTCTTAAAATTACAACTTTGCCCGCGTCCCAGAGCCAGCTGTCCCGGAATTGTGAGTGCTGACTGTACACTAGCATTCTAGCACTAAAGTACGACCTATTTTGAAAATATCCGCCTTGCACGCTCTTGCATGTTTTTGACGCCAGCTCCCCAACTATATGATATGTCCCTGATTTTCCTCTTTTTTTCCAGAAAATGTCATAATTTTCCCCTGAATAGTTTTCCAGAAGAAAAATAAAATGTTGGATGGTGCATTTAGGCCTAATTTTGTTGATATTCATTAATTTCCAATGGAGTTATTTTTCACTGGAAAAATTTGAATTTTACTATGATACGCCCCTGACTTTCTTCATTTTTCCCAAAAAAATTTATAATTTTCCCTTGAATAATTTTCTAGAAAAAAAAATAAAATGTTAGATGGTGCATTTATGCCTAATTTAGTTGATTTTCATTAATTTCCAATAGGGTTATTTTCTATTTGAAAAATTTGAAATTTTACTATGATACACCCCTGAGTTTCATCTTTTTTTCCAAAAAATGTCATAACTTTCTCCTGGACAGTTTTCCATAAAAAAAATAAAATGTTAGATGGTGCATTTATATTTAATTTAGTTGATTTTCATTAATTTCCAATGGGGTTATTTTTCACTGGAAAAATTTGAAATTTTAGCATGACACTCCCCTGACTTTTCTCGTTTTGTCCTGAAAATTTCATAATTTTCCTTTGTATAGTTTTCTAGAAAAAAATTAAAATGTTTAGATGGTGCATTTATGTCTAATTTAGTTGATTTTCATTCATTTCCAATGGGGTTATTTTTCATATATAATACCACAAGAGAAATAGTATATTGTGTATTTAGGTGGAAAAGTGACACATTCTCGGCCGACGGTGTAAGTTGACGGGCGAGGCGTAGCCGAGGCCGACAAACACCGAAGGCCGAGAATGTGCTTTTCCACCGAAATACACATACTATTTTTTCTGCGATCGGTTAAATACCTGTTAAATATTTGTCTTTTAGTTCCAATTATTCAGCAATACGAGAATCACTTTCCCGGCCTAGGCCGGAAAAGTGTTTCCCGTATTGTTATTCATTGATTCCTTAGCAACTATTGAAACATAATTGAAATACCAGAATATTGAGTTTTGCGACCTGTCAACCGGTCAAAAATGCTGACATTTCTTGTCAATCGCAGAAAAAAATTTTGTTGGCAAAATTTTCGACTTAAACACACAAAATTTTGTCGCTGAAAAACCATCATGTTGGTTTTGCCCAGGTAGGAACAGGTAGAAGTTTTGTCAGTAGGAAACCGGCCGTTCCTATGACATTTTGTCAGTGTAAAACACTCTAGGGAAATAGTCAATAGTAATATAACTAGTGCAATGGAAATTATTGATAATTTTTGGGAATGCATTTTTAGTTGAAAAAGAGCACGAGTGCACGAGTGCCTTTTTCAGTTAAAAACACATGAGTGCAAATTTGTCGAAAATTATAAATATATTTCCATTGCACGAGTTGTATTTAATGAGAGAATTTCATAAATCAAAAATTTGAATTTTTTGTCAAAAAATGTCAAAACACCAGTTTTCGCACCAGTTACTATGCAATTATCTGATTGGTTCAAATCAACAATCAAAACATGTCAATTCATTGTTGGAATACCAGTTTTGACAGATGTATGAAATTCTCACTGGAAAAATTTGAAATTTTAGTATGATACGTCCCTGACTTTCTTTTTTTTTCCAGAAAATGTCATAATTTATCCTTGAATAGTTTTCCAGAAAAAAAATAAAATGTTAGATGGTGCATTTAAGGTAAAGTACCCAGTTGTTGACATGTTAAGGGTATCCTTGCTTATGATCACCACACATTTTCCAAATTTTCAATCCCAAGGCTTTGATATATTTTTTAGCGTGATTTCAAACTCATAATTAAATGTGTAGATATATTATTTACTCTATATTCCTATTATTTGTGTTATTATGCCAAATATACCTGAAAGGTGATAAAACCCCAATAGTTGACACCCAAAAAAGTTCACTACGCCAAAAGTTGACACATTTTTGATCCAAAGGTTGACATATATTTTTTTGCAAAACCAAATTTTTACTTTTAAGAAATTTTATCACGGTCTGTGGAACTAAGAAGTATATTTTTCTAAGTGTACAATTTTTTAAATGAAATATATGCACATAATAACCAGTTATTTTAATTTTTTTTAAGTACATGTTGTCGTTCCATTACTTGACACTCTTGAAACCAATAGTTGACATGTTGCCTGTATCAGTAGAAACCCTGGTAGAAACATCAATAATGTAAGAATCAAACTTTCTCAGTTACTTTTGGTGACGATGGTACATTGTGTTTTTTTGCTGCTGTAGCTGCAGTGAGCCCCCTATCGCAATCATCCAACGCAGCAATCACGTCTTCTGGTAGTTCTGGTGCATATTTCACCAATTTCCATTTTTCATGCGTCATCTCTTGATTTAAACTTGAAAGGACCAATTGTTGACACTCCAAAGCTCCAAACCTTGACAGGGGTAACAGGGGTGTCATCTATTGGATCCACGACCGTTACATTCCCCAAACCCATATCTAGGTTTCTTTTTAATCCAGAGCAATAAAAAGAGACAGACTACAATGGTAAAATATTTTTACCGCCAAAAATCCATAAGTTGACACTAGTTTCAACATTTGGATCACCCCTCGTTTTGGGCTTCAATAGTTGACAACCCCCCTTAAAAAGTTTATGCCAGTTGTTTAAGAGATAAAACAATAATAAATATGTATTACAATGTATCTATTATACAGTAAATATATATTATTCATAATTTATCAACCCTACCTTAGCTTTGAGAACTTTTGTTTTTATATCTTCTTAACTATTTTCACTAGAAATCTGGGAAAAAATTCAAACATTTGCACCTGTTCACTACTTCTTGCCACAATTTTGAAAAAACTTGTCATTTCAAATCCATACATCAGCTATAGCCTGAAAGATGGCTCCAACAATACTATAAGCTATTTCAGTTAGTTTATAACCTATATAAATTCTTATTTTCGGGAATAATATGCTAATGTGTCAACTTTTGGGACCCTGTCAACAACTGGGTACTTTACCTTATGCCTAATTTAGTTGATTTTCATTAATTTCCAATGGGGTTATTTTTCACTGGAAAAATTTGAAATTTTAGTATGATACGCCCTTGACTTTTCTTTTTTTCTCCAGAAAATTTCATAATTTTTCCCTGGATAGTTTTCTAGAAAAAAAATTAAATGTTAAATGGTGCATTTATGTCTAATTTAGTTGATTTTCATTAATTTCCAATGGAGTTATTTTTCACTGGAAAAATTTGCAATTTTAGTATGATTCGCCCCTGACTTTTCTCGTTTTGTCCAGAAAATTTCATAATTTTCCTTTGGATTTAGGATAGTAATATAGGCAAAAACAAACAAAAGTAAAGTCCTTTTTTTAGTTTATTTTTGTCCTATTTTTTAATATTTCTATAGAGGACAGAGGTATCAGCCGGCGTATCGCGTTCAAATATTTCAGATGATCCAGAAAAAATCTGCAAAAGAAATTCGATTCAATCTTAATGAACGTTAATAATGTGGAAAGTTATATAGGGTGGTAGAACAGGCATTATTGCCTATAAACCCAGTATTATTGACCACTTTAAAACGAAAACAAAATGAACTACTCCGCTTACTTATTACAAATGAGCGAAAAAAGTACCAATTACTCCACAGCACAGAGAATATTTATTTCAACAAAGAAAAAATGCAAAAATCCGCATCTAATCTTCAGCGTCCTGAAAGAGAAGAAAATACCGCATTCATTTTGCAGATTTGTTCTTGTGTTCCTCTTGATTTCCAATTTAACGAGTTCTTAATAAATATCAATTTTTTTTTTTTTTTTTTGAGCAGCGTATCACATTACCGAATATACACCTTTCTTCGAATTCAATGCGCTCGGCTCGGCTTTCGGCTACAATCGTAGTTGCTCCACATGTGATGGCTAGACTCTAGTGACAATTGGTGGTCATCTGTTTCCAGCAGGATACTATAATTTGTACAAATGTAGTATAATTTTATAGCGTTCTATACTATAATAGTTGATCCGCAGTTGGCAACACTACACTGACTGAAATACACAACTGTTACCTATTCCAATTCTCCACTTGTTGTGTTTAATTTATCACAGACTTTTTTCCTCTGTGGTCGACTCCGTTTTATAGCGTGTGGTGGCTTCTTGAATTGTCTAGAGAATTCGCTTCCGTAAAATTTTATTCGCGAATTTTCTACTCTTCCGGAAGGGTTGCAAAGATTGTGCACGATTTCCCTAACTCAAGAGATTTATATTATAACAATTAGCTGTGTTTAAAAAAAAAAACAAGTTGTCCACACACCCAATATCCCAATCTGATCTGATTACCAACTAAAGATTTATTAGCCTATTTCTGAGAGAATGGATAAATTTATAAGATAAACTAACATATTGTAATTATTAGGTACTCAGACCAAGTTAAGAATAATAGATTTTTTAGTCTTCATTTCAATGATATTTTGTGTTAACTATACATTTATGAAAATTTCTGTTTCAGCCTCCAATAGTACCAAAAATTATGTACGAAGGCGACACGAGCAATTTTGACGAATACCCAGAAGGCGATTGGAAAAACTCCAGGATGTTGGAAGATGATGAACTAAAACTATTTGAGGACTTTTGATCGATTTTGTTCCCTTTTTTTTTAGTTACCTTGTGGGTATTTTAATTATGATTCTTTATTATGAATCGATTGACAGATGGAGACAATCTTCTCCATCCAGAAAATTTATTTATCTTGGGATAAGATATTTAACTGTCCTTTAAAACTTTATAAGCAGAATAGATTTTATATGGGTGAAACCTTTGTTCCGGACTTTCAAGTCTCTTTTTATTGGCATACAACTTTGTCACTCTCAAAATATCTCTGAATATGATTAAGTTTCTACTAAATCAATAAACAAAGACAATGACAGTTTATTAGAACACGTAAAACTTTTAAACTAACAAGTTTTTGATTTGTTTATTTCCAAAGCAAGCAAAAAGTAGCTACTTTACTACTACACCTTTTCCAATTGTAATTCAGAAAGCGGAAAATGTATTTGAGAAAGGGAAATTAAATTTCAGAAAATGGAAAATGTAATTCAGAATAGGAAGTTATTATTCAGAATATGGAATTTGAAATTCAGAAAAGGAACATAATATTCAGAAATGGGAATTTGTAATTCAGAATAGGAATATGTGATTCAGAAAGGGGAAAGTTAATTCCAGAAAATGTAAATTGTAATTCAGATATGCAATTTTGAAAATCAGAAATAGGAAAATGTAATTCAGAATCATGAAATATCTACGAGTGTTTTTTTTTTTTCAACTTTTAATCTTGTGTCGCTAAACACGGGACTGCTACTTGCGTTTATTAAATTATCGTTTGTACAGTTTTACATAAAAATGTTCTTTGTGAATCCAAATACAAAAATACGTATTCATACAAATTCAATTTTTATTCAGTTACCTATACGTAAGCACATAATAACATACTTCTAAAAAAATTACCAAAAAGTAAGTTGATAACTTAATTTCCTCAAATGCAATTCAAAATTTCAGTTACTGACCAACTGGCATATCCTTTAATACTACATAGCGCCACGGCATGGAAGGTGGTTGAGTGTTGGGTGGTTCTTTCACTATCTTTATGTACCTGTGCTCTGCTCTGTATCTCTGTACATAGCTTATCGTAAGGTGCATATTATACTTTTCTGAATTACAAATTCCATTATCTGAAATTAAATTTTCACCGAGATTTTCACCTTCTGAAATACAATTTCCCTTTTCTAAATTATAATTTACAGTTTCTGAATTTCAATTTACTATTCTGAATTACAATATTGCTTTTCTGAATTCCAACTTCCTAATCTGAATTTCATTTTCCCTATTCTGAAATTAAAGTTACAATTCTCAAATTCAATTTCTCTTTTCTGAATTATAAGTTCCTATTCTGAAATACATGTTCCCTTCTCTGAAATTAACCTTTTATTTTCTGAATTACAATTGAAAAAGGTGTAGTTACTGTTGGCCCATGCCTAATCCTTATTTTAAACTTGATCGGGTTACTGTTAATGGTTATTATTACCTTCTCACTCATTAGGTACTTTAAGAAAAAAGTCCTGGATAAATGTACAGCATTTTGTCGATAGGTTCTTAAATTAGGTACAATAATTTTACAAAAAGCTTTGAAAAACCATATGCATTTTCTTGCATCAAAACTTCATTAAGGACCAAATGCCAATGCAAAATTGTAGAAAAACTTAAAGCGAATTCAATACTTGAGCATTTTTATTTACTATAAGAAATTCAAATGCTACCATTGGGTATTTTTGTAACCAAACCTAGTTGTCTTGATGAAAAATGTATACCTATCTTAAGTAGTGTTTAAAAAAAATATATGTTGCCATTTTGTCCCTATTTGTATTTAAAACTGATTGTGATATTCGATAGAAATAGATTTTTTTTGTACATTATTATTAAATATACAATATTTATTGTTTATTAGAATATAAGCATAAGTTGTTATGTGTTTCACGCAGAGTTTGCTGTAAATTAGTTTTAGATTTTTTTAATTAACCTTATGTATGCACATAAACACTGTTAGTTTGTTTTTGATAAAATATATAAAAACCAATAATTGTTTTAGTGTTTGACTCATCCATGAATTTTCAATGAAAATTTGGTAAATAAGTCTATAAAGTGTATTTTGGGAAATAATTAAATGCCACTTCCGGCACAATTTCATGTTGTAAACAACCATGAATAATATTTGTTATTGATGAAACAGGTGTTATGGTTTAAGTACAAAGGAAATGTGGATTTGTTAAGTAAGTAATCCAAAAAATAAGTAGCGACAGTGCATAACTCGGTGCATAATAATAAATAAAGATACAAATCAAAATAAAAGATTTCATTACTATAATAGATTATCTAATTTTAATTTATAGTCAGTCTAAAGCTGAGTGAGAAGAATAAATAAAAAAACTTTTTTTTTTCAAAAATTAACTTTTATTTTTATCTGAGCATAACATTGTATCTAGAAGTTCCTGAAAACAAAAAAAATCAATGGTTAAAATAAAAGCAAATAGAATTCTTGAAAAAGTTCACATAGAATGACTGAAATAAAAAATAACAGAAACTGATTGTGCTATACTAAAATAATTGGTGATTTATCCTTGAGTACCTACTCGGTTAAGTAAAATCTGTTTTTTTTTTAAAGATAAAAGTCAAAATGACATTATGTTGGCAACTCAATGTAAAATTGTGAATGCTTTCAAATTTTTTATGTAGAAAAGGCTTGCGTTGCCAACATAGTCACTAAATTTTTGACTTGGGGAATTACCTTTAAAAAAAAACAGACATTAGGTATGAGAACTCAGAAAAAAACAAAAATCTGATAGCGTTTAATAGTAATTCTGTTCAAGAAAAAAAAAATATTAGGGTATACTTAACCAGATAAAGTGATATTGTGAGGACCGCATTTTAAAGTTACCAACCAGGGGGGGGGGGCTTTATTTGAAATTTATGCAACTTGGCGTACACGCAAATATGACACAGATGACGTCAGTTGCGATTGAAAAAGTGCATGTCAAATAAGCCGTGCACCAATTTTCAATCGCAAGTGATGTCATTTGCTTGTACGCAAAGTTGCATTAATTTCAAATAAGGCTTCCCCAGAAACCTTAAGCTTATAAATCTAAATTAAAGTGTACTATTAGAATCTCCAATGAAATGCCAACGAGAAACTCAAAATGTGTGTGTTCGCAATGTAATTTACACACAATAATAAGTTAAAACTTACTTGGCAACAAGTCCATCTTTTTTCGTAAGCCTGACAATACAGTCGTCTGATTCACCCATCCTACGGATACTTCCACACAGGGCGTAGTTTTTGGATGTGTCAGTCATTCTGCCAGTAACTGGGTCTACTTCCGCAATGCTGATTTGGATAGAGGCATGGTCTTTAGCGTGAATAATTCTGTTTGAGGCAGAACTAAAAAAAAAGTTGCAAGGGTTCACTGACTTTATACATACATAAATTATATTTGTGGAATTAGTTAGTTCTCCTCTGAGGTTGCTTCGTATTTACTGTATTCCTTTTATACATCGAGTTACACCGAACGAGCTCCTCGGAGTCACTCCAAAACACACAATTCAGATTTAATCATTATTTTTTAATATTAACATTACCGTCATTACCTAAAAGTGCTTCTTGCACCCCCACAAATTTGGTGCATCAGGGGAAAGGGGGATGCACTATAAGCGACTCGGGTGCTTAACGCACTTTTAAAAGGAACATTCCTTGAAACATTCAAGCTTTTGACATTGAGCAGCTCCAAGTTACTCAACGGGTAAAAGGAATACAGTAATTGCTAACAAATCCAAAAACATCCTAATAAATATGTTTGCTGTTGTCAGAGTGCAGTAATAGTTATTTGTTTTACTAGGCAGGCTTAGGCAGTAAAAATACAACTTTCAATCCTGTCAAGTGTCATTGAATGGCTGCTTTTACTGTCATTCGGAGAAAATAGTATATTTCCTAACTAGTGCGGAAAGTGCTACTTTTCCGCACGCGATTGCAGTTTGCGGAACGACGCGTAGCGGAGTTCGGCAAGCAATCAAGTGCGGAAAAGAGACTTTCCGCACGAGTTAGGAGCACTATTTTTTCTACGAGATAGAAAGAACGTACCTACGTAATGTAAATTTTGACACGAATATTTGACAACATTTCTTTTGCAACACCTGGTATTAAAAACAAATCGAGTAATTTTTTCTTGATATAGGTTAGGTACTCTTAAGTACAAATAAAACTTATTTTGTAAAAAATAAAATAAAAATAATTCTGAAATAATGTTCCCGACTCTGAAGACAATGAAATCGAGAACTTTTAACAACAATTTGCTCGTTTGATGTATCTACTATGAAATTTTCGAAATTTTTAAGCATAAAGTAACCATTCTATAGTAACTTGACAAGAAAAGTTAAGTTTGAACCGAAATAATTTAATAAATAACATTATTGTTTCAATAATTATCAACGTTGATATTTGTGGAAGTGTGTTAGCTTATAATTTAAAAACTGACATCTGTCACTTTTCCGCACTAGTGGAAAAGTGAAACTTTCTAAACTAAAATGCGTGCGGAAAAGTGCACTTTTCCGCACGCTCGTAGAAAAAAAATATTTTCCTCTCTATTTTTCTTTTTTTTTGTCAAACAAACATTGAAACGAAAAAAAGGAGAATGATAGAAAAAGAGATGAGAAAAAAAAAATTATAATAAAAAATAAGATTTTTCTTTTTGACGCCGCATAGAAACTTGAAATTTGTTAAAATTTTTTAAAAAGATAAAAAATAATGATGTTGCGGGAGATTTTGTTGTTGAGAAAAATGTCTGAGGAATTGCATTGAAATTTTGCAATAGATAGAAATATTTTTGACACAAATAAACCTTTTTGCTTACTTTCTTTGAGTTTTAGGTTTGAAGCATTGTAGCTTCAAAACTTACTTCAAAACTATTAGAGCTGCATTGGAAGTTGTAATTTTTATTATTTTTTTATTCAAAGTTCATAATAATTTTTTATTACATTCAGAGCCGGTTTATTCACCTTCTGATAAACGGTCAGGTATGCAATCTTACAGATAAAAACGCAATCTGTAATCCCATTGGTCAGTTATCTGCCAACCTAAAGAATTATAGAGCGGAAAATCTTTTTTTGCAGATAGTTACCAGCAAGTTTATCTGAGGGATGAATATACCGGACCTTAAAAAAAGAGAACATAAGGGAAATTCAATAAATAAGAATTGGACAATGGAAAAAAAATTGATAAACTGAAAACAAAAATAAAAAACTACAGAAAGCCATTTTTCAGGATAAGGATATTTAAGCATTAAAATGTTCTGTTCAAATTGAAATTTGTATGAAAATTTAGAAGCAGACAATATCTTTATGGTGGTATATACTTACTGTACAAAAAAGTTAAATTGGATTGGATATTTTTATTGGGAGTGACTACTGCACTGTCTAGACACTGCCGACTGAAAACTATCCGCACTGACCAGACAGTGCCCACTAAAATCTATCAGCACTGTCTAAACAGTGCCGACTGAAATCTATCTGTGCACTGTCCAGACAGTGCTGACTAAAAACCATCTGCACTGTCTAGATAATTTCATTATCATATCATATAAGTTATTATCTGGACAGTGCAGATGATTTTTAGTCGGCATTGTCTGGACAGTGCTGATAGATTTTCGTCGGCACTGTCTGGTCAGTGCAGATAGTTTTCAGTCACCACTGTCTAGACAGTGCAGTAGTCACTCCCATTTTTATTTTAATTATTTTCAATTGAGTGTTTTACTCCTCACTTGCATTGTTACGATAAATTTATCATTTACGTAACATGTTCCATCTCTTCTTATTTCCATTATAAAGTTGTATTTTTTTTTCATTTCAGAATTCAAAATAATTTCTAATATTCTAAAAATATCCATTAAATTCAAATTTAAATTCAGGTAATACAAGTGCCGCCATCTATCCACATTTGCGTAAAATTCTCGGTAAAATGCAAGTATCGAGAATTGATTTTTTGGTGCTGCCATCTAGTGCCCGATGATCTATATTTCATTGATGATTTTTAAAATTTGCATTTGGCAGTTATTTGTATTTTAATTGAAAGAAATTATATTCATCTCACTTTTAGCAAATGGATATATTTCCGTCCTTTTTTAACTTTTGATTTTTAAATATTCATTTTTGGCTTAATGATCCAATTAATTAACAGTCTTTTATCTTTGACATAACCTTAATTTAAATTATTATAATTTGTAAACAATTAAAATAGTTTTAGTGGATTTTTTAACTATTTTCGTTTATTCCATGCGGTTTTCATTGTGTTTTCATTTTGAAGTGAATATGGTCTTTTCGAGTGTACTCGTTTGATTGGTTCAAACTGGCTGGAATGCAGTAAGTATAAAAAACACAGGTTCGTTTTCCTGCTAGCTTGGTTCTCTAAAAGGTTCTCTTCTTGAAGAACAGTCTGGCCAGGCAAGTCCTCTTTTTTATTAAATAATTTTTGTGCTCTGAATTTCTGGATACTCCCCTATAGATTTTCAATATTCAAATTATCCTATCTTTATGGAGTTTTTACTAATAAATCTTATCTTATCTGTTTTTTGAAATATAAATATTATTTGAGAAAAGTTTTTGGATTAATTTTCTCCGCTTTTCATCCATAGACGCGTTTCGACCTATATCAGGTCTCATCAGTATGGCTAGGAAAAGCGAAGAAAACCAATCCAATTTTTCGCCTAAAGGCAAATGCAAGAAATTCGAAGAGCGAATCTTGATCTTAACGCCATCTAGGACACGATAATCAACACTACACGCAATTTTGCTGTGCAAAATGGTGAACGTTCCAAAGGCAGACCAAAATTCAGTTCGTTTGGGTTTCACCCAAAAGTACCACTGTTTGAGAAAAGTTTTTGGATTAATTTTCTCAAATAATATAAATATTATATTTTAAATTTTTTTTTATCTAATTGTTGGCTTCCATTTTGTGTGAATTACTTTGCTTATTGGTTAGTGTCACGTTTTGTTATACCTAATTGGTAAGTCAAGACAAGACAGTTTCTTTGGTTTTAAATAGGTACTGCTGCTCTGGCTTTCAGAATCAATTTTTAGTGTGGGAAAACTGGACCATTTGCTCTAAATAGAGTCGGTGAAAACCAAATTTGTGAGTCCACCCCATTAATCCTTTATTGAATCCAGGCAGAGGCCTGAACAACCATTTTCTGCTTGACTCCCTAAATTATCTTATCTTATCTTATCTTAAATATCTTAACTAAAGGGTGTTTTTTTTAAAATAAAAATCTAGACAGGTCAAAAGTTCAGTTTAAAAGTTTTAATTAAAACATCTCAAGAATTTTGACACGTTCTGGATTTGATTAATTTCAACCCTAGGTTTATCTAGTATCTGTAGTACTTAGCTAACTTAATTCCAATTCGAGGGGAGAATTTTGTCTATTTGGGGAGGAATCCAGACATTTGATATCTTAATTTTTCTTACCTTACATTTTGGTCAATTATAACGAGCATTATATAATCATTATAATTTATTCCTGTTATTATTCTTATTTTTTTTTAATATCTTACCATTAATCTTAATTATTTAAGTACCTAATTTTTTTGTATATTAAAATATTAATTTTTCTACTTGCAATAGTTTTTATACCTGATTCGGTTGAAAGGAGTGTCTGTATAACAATCAAATCATTTTGTACTAAATTTCAATTTCAATTTCTTTTGTAAGACACTCACTTTTTAACAGAATTCAGGAATTTAATGTTCCAAATATTGTTGAACCTGATACTGCCTTATTCTTTTCTGGGTACCTACTCTGCATAAAGATCACTGTTTGGAGTTTGGATCAGCTGGAGTGACGTCACCCCAGCAATCTACCCTCTTCCTGGAAACAGGAAACAACACCAAGAGCTCCAGTTCACGAAAGTGAAACCTCAACACCCATTGAAGAGCTCCGGATTAGAAAGCAGGTACTTGGTATCAGATTCACCAGAACAACCAAGCTATATTGTTTATACTAAATAAACTAACCAAGATTGTATGTAATTAAATAAAATTATTGTTTGTTGGATTTTTGAGTGGTTTCATTTGCACATAAAGGGACTACACGTTATCTTAATTTTCCTTTGAATTCACGACCCTAGGTTATCTTTTCCTTAAAGTATACAAATAAACTTAAATTTCTTTGTAACAGCATTAAATAGATTTTTTAGGGGAAGAGAAATCAAGGGGACCTTGAATGAGGCTCCATTAACGATTTTGATAATAATTATAGATCATGAACATTACTTGGAACGTTATGTTTGGGTTTTGATTAGGGTTGCCAACCGTCCTCCATTTCGGTGGACGTCCACCATTTGGGGTTCATTGTCCAGCGTCCTGTAACAACCTATTGCAGGACGCCTATTGTACTTAATTTTTAACTTAATGAAGAACTCTGTCAAATTAGGCCAGCTGTAAACCTGGTTCTGGTTTATAAGGAAAATCATACAATAACACATCAAGGCAGAACTGCAAATAAAGATTAATTATTCTTATACTTGCATAGAATTTCATGATTTTGTAGGAGGTGAAGTTAATGCTAGCTGCAAAAAAAGAAAAAAAAAAAAACAGAAAATAATTTTAGATGCTGTATCTATAGGTCTGTTCGCACAACAATCACAAACCCATCAGAGCGAATTTCATTGGTTGAAAATAGTCAGAAAACTAGTTTAAACCAATAAAATTCACTCTGACTGGTTTGTGATTTCTGCAGAAACAGACCTTATTTGTAATTACCTTTACTCAACTGATTTGTTAATCTGCGTATAATTATGGAATAAAATTTTAAATTATTAGTTCCTATTTACCCAAAGAATTCTTTTTTTTTAGTGTATACAGGGTGAATCTGAAAGTGAGGCTTTTTTTTTAACAGGGTATACATCTCGCTAAAATAAGTTGTTTGGCAAAAATTTTTTTACATAAAAAATTTAAGATAACGGAGGTATAGGTATTTAAAGATATAAAAATTATTAGGTTGAAAATGGAAAAAGGAGTTATTGATTGATTTTTCTGATGAAATAATGCAACTGTAGATTACCTATTATGGAAAAAAACTCATTATGCTGAACAAATAACTGATTTTTTTCCAAGAAAATGTAAACAAAATGTTTTATAATTGCATGCATGCCTATTCTCGAAACTGGGGAATAGCGTTCTCATGGATCTCATGAGAACAATTGATCTGGTCTTTTGTCAGTGTTATGCAAACAGAGTATGGGCAAGTAGGGCGGCGAAGATAGGACCTTCGTTCTCATAAGAACGCTGCTCCCATGTTTTGAGAATAAGGACCCTGGAGTCTTCTTAAGACCTTGAAATACCTGTAACTCCGTTATCTCAAATTTTTTGTATAAACAATTTTTTGCCAAACAACTGATTTTGGTGAGATTGTATATAAGTATGTTTTTTTTTTGTCGGATTGTTTATTTAAGTTTTTGAATGGTATTTTTCTCTGCAATAAAAAAAATGTCCAGAATTTATACTATATGTCCTGATATTTTGTTATCTTCGTCCAGAAAAATTAAAAAACAAAGTTGGCAACCCTAGTTTTGATAATTCAATAAACAGGCAATTAGAAAGGATTATTTCAAGTCACAAACAAATTAGATTTGTATTAAAAGTGTTTAAAAATTAAGGAGGGGAAAATGGAAAAAACTAGGGAAAAAGAAAAGTGTTTGGAGGTTGTAAAATGTTTACCATTTTCTGGGGCAGTACAAGTCGACAAAATCTCCAGCTTCGTTTTCCATTTCGTAAACTCTAAAAAAGCAAACGTTTAAATTAAATTTACTATCAAAATAGACGCAAGAAAATCAGCAAAAAAACTCACTTTTATTTCAAGTTTAGGCACAAAAAAAGGGCTGAAAAATGAGGAACGAGGAATGTCATATGTCTATCTTTAAGGTTATGTCACAGGAGCCTGATTCTCAGCCGCTTTCCAGTGCCTAAATTGTTAGAGTATCATGCTCCTGAAGTGTGACGCTCTTGAGCTGCTCGACATAAGCAGCACTGAAACGCTCTCGTTTTAACCCCCACCATTTCGGATTTCAGGAGCATGAAACACAGACAAAAGGGTTGGTTCACGAAGGGGCAGGGGATAACAGAAATGAGTAGCTCAAGTGTACGACACTCTAAGCACTGGAACGCGCAAAGCAATTGTGGAGCACTCCTGAGCTGCTCAGGAGTAACTCAAATGGGTCACTGGAAAGCACCTCTCTCGTGTCCACTTATAGCGTTTTCCATTTGTCGAACCAGTGCAAAAAAAAATGTATCCTTAGCCTTAGCCGCTTTCCAGTATGGGAGTGTGACGCCCGGAGCTACTCGGGGCGTTGAGCTCCCGAGCTGTACGTACGCGTCAACCTATCAGCTGTCACATCCGTGGGTGGCTATTTATCTATTTATTTCTTGTTATATCTCAAGATTGAACATTTTAAAATATCTAGTTTTGATTTTCTTCCATTTTTGATAAATAAAAAAACAAACTGCACAAACAAACATATAATTATTTTTAAAATTTGACATATTTGACACTAGACAGGCGTCTCACGGCATGATACTGGAACGGTACAAATCTAGTGCGTGGCGCCCCCGAGGTGCTCTAGAGCGCGCCAATGTGCATACTGGAAAGCGGCTCTTACATGATGCTTTTAGAAAAAGATGCGGATACACTCAGTGCGCACTGATTGGAATTCGCCATTATTTGACGTTGGTTCAAAACCGGTATGAAACAGTCAATGGAAGCACCATTGCCCGATTCGAACGGCTGGGATCACGACAAGTAGAATTCTACTTTCATGACGTCACCCGCGACCAATGAACTATAGCCAAAAACTGGAATGCGCACACATTGCCATATCTGCCAAAAAAATGAAGCCATGGAAGACAGATGCCACAAAGGGGAATGTTGTTTTTTTCTGTTGCTCGCTGACATAATATGACGTTTTGGAAAGTTTTGTCATATTTACCTTCACAGGTTTCATCAATTGAAATACGTGTTGGAAGCAATTTCCGCCATTTTACATAATGAGTGCGACAAAGACAGGTATCCCCTCCGCAGCAGCGGCACTAGGCTTCACGTTCGTCAATATGTGTTCGCATTCCAGTTTTTGGTTATAGTTCATTGCCCGCGACCTATTTTATCGCGTTCAGTAAAGGCAATGATAGCGGTTGCTAGGCAACCCTCGGCTGGGATCACGATAAGAAGACTTCTACTTGAATTCTACTTTCATGACGTCAGGTTGCCTAGCAACCATCATCATCGCTGTACTGTACGCGATAAATGAGTCGCGGATGACGTCACGAAAGTAGAATTCTACTCGTCGGGATCCCAGTCCTGTTTTGAACCAATGTCAAAAAAGTGGATACGAGAAAACGCCTATGGTCATGACCAAGGATAAACGCAAGTTTTTAAAAGCATCAATGACATGCATTTTTGCCATTTTCACATATGTAATGCTGTCTTTGTCATTTGGCAGCAGTAAAACAAGGATAGGTTGCTCATCAAGAGAAATGCGCCTAAGCAAATGGTGAATTGTGTAGCACCATTGACGACGTCATCAACTACGTCGTCCGCTGTTTGCGCCAGCGGTCGTAGTTTAGAACTTACATTTATGATGAAAAATATTATTCAATTTTGATAAAGATAATAGGAAAAGAGGGAGATACAAACGTTGTTTAGAATGGTAATTAAAGTACTATAACGGCATCACTGGTTCTTTGACGTGGTTGGGGGGCTTGAGATTTGATCTACACAGGCCTTATGAAATGAAATGAAATATTTATTATTCACTACGTTTATTTCATGCGTTCTATCCAGATACTAAGTGGATTGGATTATTAATAGAGATTAATAATCCTGATATAAACACCCAGGATTAGGGACTTTATCCAGATCGACCGGATCGGATACTTTTATCCAATCTTCCAAATTTGTAAGCTTGGACTTAAAATTAATTATCTTAAATGTGAAATCAACACCTTAGGGCCGGTTTCTCAATAGTGAGTAACCCCCGGGTTAGGCATAACTCTAGGGTAAACATTGCAACTGGACATGTTTACCCTGGAGTTAAAACTCCAGAGGTGACTCGGAAACCGACTCTTAAGGCTCGGTTTATCAATAGAGGGTTACCCCATGAGTTACGGATAACCTTGGGTCAAAGTTGTGACAAGTGTTTATCCATCCAGGGTCAACTGCTAACTGGGAAGTTATTCCCTGGGTTATCCTCAAAATTTTCTCTTATTTTCTATATTTCTATTGATTTTTTTAAAAACTGGTGGTTTTGGCTTGAATTTTGATATTCTTAAGTGAAAGATTCCAGTTATGATGATCGAGATGTTCTAAAGTCTGTGTGTTACCACAGCTTATATTTATTCCTAGATTTTTTTGCACTAAAACTTTCTTTTTTGGGTCATACACTCCTTAAATTAATAATTTTCTATTAAATAATCACTTCAGTAAGTTTAACATAAATCCTAACTTAAATACTACTTATAGCCTAGTACTCATAACTGCGAAATTCGCATTTTTTTGACATTGCTTCGACAATTTGACGTTTGAGACACGCATAAAACGTCAAATTGTCAACTCAATGTCAAAAAAATGCGAATTTCGCAGTTATGAGTACTAGGCTTATATAAGGATAAGCTTTCCTGTAGTAGTAGAGTGTACTAATTATCCTCGACTAACATTAACACACGCCGTTTTCGATTCGCAACGGCTGGGATCACGACGAGTAGAATTCTACTTTCATCACGTGACCCGCGACCTATATATCGATATCGAGTATAGGGTTGCCAGATTGAAATATCTACAAATCGGGTATACCAATCAAAAAGCTATTAAAAAATCGGGACATTGAATAAAAATCGGGACACTTTTTTTTTTGAAGGAATAATTTGATATAATGTGTCCCCGTTTAGATGGTCAAAAATGCTAGGATATTTAGAGGAACCATAGAGAAATAGTTTGACATAAGACACTGATAGTCGGAAGTGCATCGTTTCCAAAATAAAGGGTGTTGAAATTTAAATAACCCCCTTTCATAATCGTCTGAAGCGCTAATGCTAGGCTGTCCAAATTTTCAAGGATTATTGATGTAGGAATGATATTTAAAAATTCGTGCACCCCTATTTTCTACGTGGCGTGGAACCACCCAAAAAAAGAAAATTTGGAACAAATTGCTTTTTTTTTCAAATTTTTTTTTTTTTTTGGGGTGGTTCCAGGTAGAAATCCCGGAAAATTTGAACAGACTAGCATTAGCCCTTCAGATGATATGAAAAGAGGTTGTTTAAATTTCACTACACCCTGTATTTTGGAAACGACGCACTTCCGACTATCGGTGTCCTATCTCAAACTACTTCTATGGTTCCTCTATAGTCTATAGGGTGATTCACGAAGCCCGTACTAGCTTGAGCTTGCGGGTGGGTGGATTAGATGCTATTTCTACTTATTAACCTACAAACTGGACAACTTCTAATGCACAAGCTAAGCTACGTAAATCACGGTGTATATCCCAGCATTTTTGACCAGTTGTGAGTTGAACAGGGACACCCTGTATAAAGAAAATAAAATAAAACTGAACAATAATACCTCTAAATAAAATTTTAAAATAAAAAATAAGGAAAAATAATAAAATGCATATTACTTACTTAATTTATCCTTATCGTCGAAACCAGAAAAATCTTGATAATAGTAATGAATAATAACAAGTACAATTCAAAAATAAGTGATTTATATTTATAAGTAGTTTTAATTTTTTCCAATTTTCAAAAAAACTCCGTGAAATCGGGACATTTAGCGTCCCGACGTATAGTCCATCGGGACACGGGACAAAATCTCCAATATCGGGACTGTCCCGTTAAAATCGGGACGACTGGCAACCTCAATGAGTACAGTACAGGCGATAGATGGTTGCTAGGCAACCTGACGTCATGAAAGTAGAATTCTAGTAGAATTTTACTTGTCATGATCCCAGCCCCAGCCCAAAAATCCTAGCCGTTGGGCCTCGTTGATTCGGATGTGACAAAAGTTGGTTGACTCACAAAACTTGACTTATGGCGGGTATTATAAAACTATTTTGACAGAATATCTAAAAGTTAACTTCTGGAATGACGTTACTTCTCATGTAATTCCAGAAGTTAACTTTTAGTTAACTGCCAATGTATTTTTATAATACCCGCTCTTAGACGGACCAAGCGATGCCTGTCACGTCACCGGTTTGCAATCGAAAACGGTTGGTTCTAATTTAGTTCGCCTTGAAGAATGAAGACGAACTAAAGCGAATCGAAAACATCCATAGGTAAGGAAGGTGCTTGTTCGTAAGCACCAAGAATCGTAACTAACAGGATTGCTCATCCTAGCTGGCCTGCGCTGCGAGCGACGTCACCACTGACGTCACCACTAACAGCAGCTGAAAGTGGTGTTGTCACCCGCACACCTCGCTGAATTGATTGCAATCCAGGCTGTGGTTGTGAGTTAATTTTCTCGTAGATTTTAAATGTCCAAAAGGTGATTTTAACGTTTAGGAATTCCAGTTTGAAATAGTCGGTGAACTACATTGAAATTCACTCTGACTGGTTTGTGATTACTATGCGAACAGACCAACAAGTTTACTTGACACCGCACTATTCAAGTATAATACACACTACTACAGGATAGCTTATTCTCATAAGGCCTGTGTAAATAAAATCTCAAATCTCCCACCACACCAAAGAACCAGTGATGATGTGCAGCGTGTCGTTTCTCGCCTTGACGTAGGGTGTTTGCACCGCAGGCAATGATACCACGGAATTCTGCCTATGCATACTTGGTATTAGTACATCACTAACTGATAAGCAGCAATCCTCTGTGTAGTAGTGTGTATTATCCTTGCGCACTATCCACCGGAATTTTTGACAGCTACCGGGTAAATTATAATGGTGAATTCTGAAAAATACCCTATTCAAGACCCTATTGTACCAACCGGAACTCGGAAGAAGCCTCAACTCAAAAACCATCAAGTATTAGGCCTGTTCGCACAGCAATCACAAACAAGTCTGACTGGCGAATTTAATTGGTTGAAAACAGTCAGCAGAAGTAGTCAGAAAACTGGTTCAACCTCAGCTGGGTTCGGCTATTCAGCGCGAAGTTACAGTGGAGTGAAAAGAGCTAATGGAGTCACCCCTAATACGGTAAAAAGCAATACCTGAACCTTAACCCGAACGGCTGGAGTGCGAATGGAGTCACTCGGAGTGCACGGAGTGAGCAAGCCGAACCCACCTCCAGTTTCAACCAAATTCACTCTGACTGGTTTTTAATTTCCGTGCGAACAGACCTATTTTTGCGGCGACAGGCGACAGTTGATACATGTCATCAGTCAGTCAGCATCAGCGCCACCACCACCAGCCAGCGATCCAGCAGAAATAAGCTTGAAGAGTTGATTGTGATGCCGTTTCTCATTGAATGAAAATTCGAAATTTGATGCCTTTATACTGTAAAAAGTGTCCATTTTCATTTAAAAAATTGTTAAAAGTAGGATTTTTTGCCGCATAACCCGCTGAGATGCTCACCAACTAAGATACAATTGCTTTATTTATTCTGGTTTCACTGTAGTTTAGTACCGACAAAGAAAATGGATTCCCAGCCAAATATATTCGAGCCGGCGGTGACCCCCGAAGAATGGCAAAAAGTGCCCTCCGAGATTGGCCAGAAACTGGTCAACTTCGTCAATGAAAAATTCGAAGAATTTATCACCTCCAAGGCTTTGTTGGAGACCAAAAGCTTTAACTCTGGTAAGTGAATTGAATAGCGTTTTTTTTTTCTTCCATTCTCATTCATAAGGTGTTTTTACAAATATGTATGCAGCCTCCTAGCAATTATTCGTTGCTTGCAGCTTAAGAAGTTGATACCTTTGTCCATTCGAATGATCCATGATACTAATATTGCCGATTGATAGATAAATAAACGAATCGGCTGTTTGAATTAACCTCAAAATATCTACTTGTTTCTGAATAGCGAGGTCAGACTTCAATGAAGTCTGTTTTTTTTTAAAGATAATTCCCCAAGTCAAAAATTTAGTAAAATCTGTTTTTTTTTAAAAGATAAAAGTCAAAATGACATTATGTTGGCAATACAATGTAAAAGTGTCAATGCTTTCAATTTTTTATGTAGAAAAGGCTTGTGTTGCCAACATAGTTACTAAATTTTTGACTTGGGGAATTATCTTTAAAAAAAAAACAGACTTTAACTATGTTGGCAACACAAGCCTTTTCTACATAAAAAATTTGAAAGCATTGACAATTTTACATTGTATTGCCAACATAATGTCATTTTGACTTTTGTCTTAAAAAAAAACAGAATTTACTCATTGAAATAAAACTTTTGAGAAAACTTTTGTTATCACAAACAAACCTGCCAAGTTTGAGAAAGAAAAAAATTTGGGAGAGGGATTTTTGAGCTAAAAACCTGATTTTTTGTTCAAATTTTGACATCCTGTTTCTCAAAAACTAAGCAGTAGTGGACCCATGCTTCTATTAACTTTTTTCTTAGTTTAACAAGTACTATTTATCCTGGAAGTTTGATCCCACTGGCCACTACACTATTTAGAAACACCCTGTATGTCTATTGCCTACTACATGGGGTATATTTGGTAAATTGGTATACAGCACAGGGGCCCAATTCTTGAAAAATATCGCATTCGAAATTTGAAATGATTTCGAACGCTTCCCATTTAATTTACATTGCTGTCAGTCAAATTCGAATCAAGTTTCGTATGCGAAATTTTTCAAGAATTGGGGGCAAGGAGACGTTTTATGGAATGTGGAAATGGGTAGTGCTATGCTTTTGGGTAGAGGACCCCCTCAAGTTACTTTTTCTTTGAGCCTCCTTCCTTGGAGCCTTATAGTTTTGCTTGCCTTGCTTTGTTGCCTAATCGGTGGCCTATTGAAAAGTTATGATCCTGTGGAAGCACATTTATTATAATAACTTTTTTTTTGTCTCTTGAAATATTTTTGTTACCTGAACTTTTCAAAAAAAATGGCAAAATGTGATACAGTAGAATAATTTGGATAAAAACCGTATTTATCACAAAAAACTGAATGATTTCCATTGTATTAAGCCAAGTTGTAAAAAGTAATGGTTTATAATCAATGCCTCGATAAATCGTTTATTTCAAAATTGCTAACATAAACATAGTTATACAAAGTGAAACGTCGTCACACAAAAAATAAATTATATCTATTTCAATTTTTTCAATTTCAAGCAAGCTTTATTGTCTAAAAATGTAGATTTTCATTGACAAAGCAAGAGTAATAATAAAATAAACAAAACAATAATAAAACAAGTAACATCTCAAAGGGGTAATTTTCCTTAGACTAAAGAATATACTTAATATTAAAATTACAGGACAGTAAACTTATGGTGCATGATTAAAATTGTACAAACTCACGCTTAAATACATACTTACATAACAAAACAACCAGTCAAAGTCAAGTCACAACACAATTTCAAAATGAATAGGTCTAGACTTATAAAATAGATAAAATACAATAACTGTAACACAAAGCTCATTTAGTCGTCATAATACTCTTTTAAACTGTAGAAAGCCTTGGTGGCTAGATATTTTTTAACATTTGACCGAAATGCTTTATAACAGGAAACGTTTTTTATATCCTGTGGTAGTTTATTAAACATTTTTTTACTCTCATAAATTATCGATTGCTTTGTTAAGGCAAATTTTGGTATTGGGAGTGGTAATGTATTATTATTACGAAGATAATAATTATTTTCCTGAACAAGACTTGCAGACTTTTTATATATAAGAGATACCGACTCAAGAATAAAAATACAGGGCACAGTCAGAATAGCCTCCTCCTTAAACAAGCCCCGACAGGTTTCCCTACAACCTACCCTGCATAAATATCGAACCGCCCTCTTTTGCAAAATAAATAAAGTGCGAATTGAAGATTGTGGCGAAAACCCCCAGAAAGCGATCCCATATCGAATATGGGACTCTATTAAAGAGTAGTAAGCATTTTTTCCTATTTTTTTGCCGAGTTCTTGAGTAACTGCTCTAATGACGTAACAGGCACAAGATATTTTTTTTGCTAGGTTGTCTATATGAGAATCAAATTTAAGTTGCTTATCAATGTAAATGCCAAGATATTTTACAGTTATTTTGTTTTCGAGGATTTGATCTTCAATTTTTATATCAAGACAAGGCACATTTAAAAGTTAAAATATTGTTTTTTTGAATGTTAAAGCAAAGCTTGTTCGAGTCGCACCACTGTTTAATACTTAATAGATCTGATTCGATGGTTAGGTTTAAATTTTCAAGAGTTTTTGAAGTCCATAGTGCGTTGGCATCATCAACAAATGCTGTTAGTTTTGCAGTTACTGGAAGTTTTAGTAAATCATTTACATATATAAGAAACAGTATGGGGCCCAAGACAGAGCCCTGTGGCACGCCACAAGAAACTCTTGCCTTTTGTGATGTGTCCCCCTTCACGCTCACAGATTGGTATCTTTCGGAGAGCATCATATTTTGAAGACTGATTTGGATGTTTTTAACATAAGTTTGGATAGATTCAAAAGAATTTTAAAGTCGATCCTAAAATGATCGTTTTTTCTATTTGTATTCAATTTTAAGCGTATTATGTTGTTTATGTTTTGATACCTACTACAAAATATTTGTTTAGGCTTATGTAATATTGTTTTTTTATACTAACTTGTCTGTTGCCTACTTGTTATTCCAAATATTTATTATTGCGTGTACCTACACTTTAAGTCTACCTTTGTAAAAATAGCATGTCCGTAAATAAAGAATTTATTTTATCGATCCAAACCAGTTCAAAGGGATTCCCTGAATACCATAATGAGCCAGCTTACGCAACAGTATCCCGTGATCTACACAGTCGAATGCTTTCGAAAAATCACAGAACACTGCCGCGGCAACCTCCCGATCATTAAGTCCCAGATATAAGGTTTCCAAAAATGAGAAAATAGCATCATCTGTGCTTTTACCGTTCTGAAAGCCAAATTGATTTTTGTTTATAATGCCATATGTATTTAAATAGGAGAGAAGCTGTTCTTTTACTAATTTCTCAATAACCTTAGATAATATGCTCAATAGCGAGATTGGTCTATAATTAGAAGGATCAGTGCTGTCGCCCCTTTAAAAATGGGAATGACAATCGCTGACTTAAGACAAGAAGCGAACACACCAGTTTCAAAAGACTTGTTGATGCTTGATGCCAACACATCTATAGCATTGCCAGGTAATTTTTTTAGGATTCTCAATGAAATGTTGTCTTCTCCTGATGTATTTTGTTTTTTTATTGACCCAAATATTTTTTGGACTTGGTCCCTGTTAGTACAAATCAGGTTAAATTTTTCTGTATGCAAGATTGGTTTCAAGTATGTAAGCGGGTCAGTATTAGACATTAAATTTTCAGATAATTTTTGTGCAATAGTAGTATAGAATGTGTTAAGTTCATGAGGATGAATATCTACTGGATTTTGAGATTTAGTTTTTTTACCTCCTAATTCATTAATGATATTCCAATATTCCCTGCTTTTATTTTCAGATCTATGAATTCTATTTTCATAATAGAGCTTTTTTGCTTCTTTTATGACCTTTCTATAAATAGTTCGGTATCTATTAAAGTATCCTATAAAAATTTGATTTGTTGTAAATTTTCGTATAGTGTGGAGTGATTTTAGATTTTTGCCAGAGATTTTAATTCCTTTAGTTATCCATAGTTTTTTGTTATTTTTTTTTATATTTCGGAGTGGAAAGCTTTTATTAAATATGTCGAATACCTTAGATTGAAATGACTTTATACAATCTACTGAAGTTAGACACTGGCTCCAGTCAATTTGGTTAGCTAAATTTTTAAATTTACTAAAGTCTTGCCGACTATATATTCTGTGTTTCACCAAAATTTTTTTTTGTTTTTCTTTAGAAGTTCGTAACTCTGCCACCAAGGCTTCATGGTCTGATAGACCAGAGGGTATTACCTGACAACTAAACTCTCCACATTCGAAGTTGCTACAAAAGTAATCTATTATTTTTGCGGAATGATTTGTAATTCTCGTCGGTTCATTTACAAATACCTTTAAATTTAATGAGTTCAATAAGTTAATCAACAATTTTGTATCACTAGAGTGCAAGTCACCATTGTCAATATTTAAATCCCCTGCGAGTACAATTTTTGACTTAATTGGGAATTTATGCAGCAAAACTTCCAGATTTTGAAGAAATACTGCTGGTTTTCCAGATGGTGGCCTGTATACACATATAATATAAATATTTAGACTTTTAACGTAAGCTATAGAAAATTCAAATTGATTTTTAATAATAAGATTATTGTGAGTGTCAATACTGATTACGCCATAATGACACAATACATTTTCATGGACAAGAATAATTGTTCCCCCATACCCTTCTTCCCTGCAATATTTCGACAAAATCCCGTAATTTGGAATGTAACACAATTCGTCCTCCGCGAGCCAATGCTCTGTCAAGAGTACAAAGGCAGGCATATTAAGATCAGCAATTAAAACCTGCAGCTCGTCAGATTTGTTACGCAATGACTGAACATTGAGCAAAAGAAATTTTATTGTAAGTATGTTTAAATCTGTTTGATTTATATTCATTTCGCTGTAATTTAAACTAAAAAAGAAGAAGAGGACGATCTGTTGCTACAACCTACCCCTAGAATAAAGTTATCAAGACGTTCCGCAATTTTCTGCTTGCCAATATTTCTTATAGCAAGTGCGTTATTAAAAATAA